GTGCGGTCGTTCGAAAGCCTTGATGCTGCACAGCTCAAGCCTCAGTGTCCAACATTCAGGATGCAGAGATGGTGTGTGCTGGGTGGGTGGGTGTGGTTGCGTGTGTGTGTGTGTGTGTGTGTATGTGTGTGCGTGTGTGTGTGTGTGTGTGTGTGTGTGTGTGTGTGTGTGTGTGTGTGTGTGTGTGTGTTCTGTGTGGGTGTCTGAGTATGTGTGAGTGCTGTTATGTTCGCTACACAGAACTCACAAAATGACTGTACCAGACTGTTTCATCGGACTCCCACCGACTCATCAGGAGGTTGAACCCCGACAGTCCGCCCAAGACGAACTGTACTGATGGCCAAGTACTCACCACGTTCGCGTGTGTCTGTGTGTGTGTGCCCGCGTGTGTGCGTCCGTGCATGCGTGTGTGCGTGCATGCTTGTGTGCGTGTGTGTGCGTGTGCGGCGTGTGTGCGTGCGTGTGTGCGTGCGTGCTTGTGTGCATGTGCATGTGTGTGTGTGTGTGTGTGTGTTCATGCGCGTGTGTTGGTGTGCGTGAGAGCGTGCATGTGTGTCCACTGTAGAGCGAAGTCGTAGTCGAGCATAGCAGAGTAGAAGTCAGTCGGCGTCGAGCGCTGTAGCCTAGGGTATGAAAAGTCGAAAGTCGATTGGAGGGCAGGTGTGGTGTGGGGCCACGCGGTTTTTCCCGCACCGCCTCCCAAAATCGAAAAAAGTTTGTTACGTAGGGCCGTTTGGCGCTGGCCCGGCAACGTCCGACAGCACCAGTGCTAGCGCGGGGGCCCAGTACCTTGTGTGGTACCAGCTCCGGTGCGCGGGCCCTGTACCAATCATGGTGCCGGCGCTGGCATGCGGGACCAGTACTGGCCCTGGCGACGCTTCAACTTCTAAGAAAAAACGATCAGCAGACGATCGGGACCGTCGTGCAGCAAAAAATCGAAGGGCCCCGATCGTCCGCTTGTCACAGGCAGGAACTTAGCGATAGTTATATACGTAGTGATTGCAATACAAAGATCTCTTGGCCGGGTATCATCCCAAAATTCTCAGCCAAATACAAGGAAAAAGACAGACACCATTATTTTGGTCTTTTTTTGGGGGGAGGGAAGGGCAGGGAGAGGGGGAGGAGGGGGTGGGGGGGTTCAATCTGGACGGTCTGGAGCCACAGAGTGTTACATGCTGAGCGTGCACACGGGGCCCGTTTCCGGGGGCCCCAGGCGGCATGCCCCCTGGAGGTCCACGGCCAGCCTTTGAGCCGCCCTATGGCATTTTTACTTGGGCCTGCATCAGAAAAACGCCAGCTTTAGATTATTTTTATAGTCTTTATTTTATTTATTTGCTGCTGTTTTTCTAACGGGTGTACTGTTGTCCGTTTTGTGGCCAGGTACA